TTTTTTTTTGTTTTTTACCCACAGGTACAGATGATGACTGACAGAACCCTTTCTACGACTAAGACTACGGTGAAAATTCCTGAAGTGTGTCTAATACTTTGCCCAGTTCATCCAAAATTTACGACAAAGCTCAGTGTATAGTTAGATATGAAAACTACAATTTATTTATGATCTGTACCAATATGTTTGTTTCATAGAACGATCAGCTTTGATTTATAAGGGGAAATCAAATTAAACTGACTTTTGTATGAAATCAAAATTAAACAAAGGTACAGAAAATGGTTATAAATGCACAGAATTTGGAAGTGGTCAGAAGAAGGAAAAAAAAGAGCTTGACTTGTGTTTTGTGCCTTCCACAAAAACTATGAACCCAGCATCTATCATAAGTGAGGATTATCTTCATAGCAAAGTCTATTGATACAGCTCTTGTAGTGGAAATGCAGGTGTACCTAATGTTATGGCCCGAGAAACCAGACATGCTCTCACAAGAGTCGGCGAGGACTCACATTGACGAAGGTAAGCGCGATGGTCATGGCGTTAGACACCAACACCAGCTCACTAGTGTTGACTCCACACGATCCAGAAACGGTGGTCATGTTGGGGTCCAAGTTGATCTCCTGATATTTCTAAAGCAGCAATCACCAAGAATCAGCGCGGCCTCATTCCATCCGGAGAGTTAAGTGTTTGGCGGGATCACACATACCTCGCCTTGCTTGACACCGATCCGCAGGGCAAAGTTTGCCAACAGACAGGCTGTGCTGTTCTCATCCGGTTTGATGGTGAACCTTCCGGTGGTGGGTGTGGGGAGGGTGGGGGCGGGGCTGGTCGTCGGAGCATGTGTACTGGTGGTGGTGTTTGTCACTGGAGCCACAGTGGTGGGAGAGGCGGTGGGGGTGGTGTTTAGGTCGGCGGAACAGGTGGTCACTGAGAAGAGAGGGAGGCACTTAGGAGGAGAACGTCTTTTAGCATCAGGCTGGGATCACCCTTACGGTTTTCGCTCTGTGTGCCGTTGCTGATGAATGCCTCGATGAGCACGTTCCACAGAGTCTGGTTGACCGAGTCGGACTGGATGGTTTCTTCACTCTTGCACGAGTAGCAGGTATTCATGCTTATGTCGGTGATCTGAGGCCTCATGTTCACAGAGAGAGTGTCTGAAGGGGGAAAAAAGGATATGTATAATTTGCTTTTTAGATGCTTGTGTACAAATACAGGGGAACCTCGGTGTTCAACAGAATACCATTCCTACAGCGAAAAGGTAACCACAATTTGTACACGAGTCGAAACGTGCTGCAGCCTATCACTACTAGCCATTTTCTCTGGCCAATTTGGTCTGTCCATGGGGAGGGCCAGGAGGTGTATTTAAAAAAAAAAAAAAAAATTGAGCTACCTGTAGTTGATGGCCAGATGAAGCCTTATGAGGCCCTGAAGGATTCCATTCAATTGGTTAACAAAAAAAAAAGTTCATCTGCACTTCACTTGCTTTTGATTTTGTTAACTATGTGTGATGGTCTTCACTATCTTACAAGTGTCTGCATGGAAATAAAAACATAATTAGATCTTGTGTTGTTCATCCATCCACTCTGTTTATGACATCCATTCATCTTGCATATACTTTAATCCTCATCAGGGACGCAGGTGAGCTACAGGCCAGTTAACTTTGAGCAAGAGGTACGGTACACCCTGGAGTAATAACCAACCCAATGCAGGACAGACAGTCAGGCTACCATCCAAATTTATTCAGATTTAAGGACAATTTAGAGTCATCAGTAAGCCCAACATCCATGTTTCTGGAATGTGAGAAGAAGTCAAAGTAACTGCAGTAAACCCACAAGCACGGTGAGCCCATGTAAACCCCACAAGGGAAGGTCAAAACCCACATTTGAACTCTAAACCTCAGACCTGAGGGAAATGTGCTAACCCCATGTGAAAATGTGTACTGCCAAGCATTTGATTTGAGTGTACACAGGGTAATGAGTATATTGCACATTTTCTAGTTCATACATTCTTTTTTTTTAAGTTAAGAAATGTGTTTTTGCATTCTCAATTTTTTTTTAATATCAGAAAAGCCTATTTTAACATTGGTGTGTTCACTTTTCACATATCACCTGTTTGTTAAGATTCTTGTACCTTCTCTGTCTCATCTGCACTCACAAAGAGCGCCTGTGTAATTAACAAGCCGGCGATAAATGGAGCACGGCATGCTGCTAATTTGCTCACATCCTACTGCTGAAGGTGTCTTAATACACATCTTTGTGGATAATCTTGGAGACGTAGTGGTATTACCAGTCAACACAGATTTAGGGAAGATGCTGGAGTCGTTGAGGTTGTAGGAAAATGTGATGGAATCCGCCTGGTATACGTTCCCGTCGAGGGTGAAGTTGATGCTCCAGGAGTGTCCTGCTCCAAAGTTGAGATTCAGTGTCGAGCTGGTCTTGTCGCATTTGCTTCCGCTAGACATGACTTCAGAGGGAAGTTCAAACTCAGCTAGCTCAGTCTGAAGAGAGAAGCATCATAAAGATTAAAGCTGGGTACACACTTACCCAACATTTGAATTTGAGCATTTTTCCCCCCTTTTGGTATTGGTCAGCAAAGGCCAGTTTTTGGAGGGCTCTGGAATATTATCCTGAGCAATTATTCTTGGGTGTGGTGTGTTAAAAGTAACTTTTGTCCTCCCAGAAGTGCTCAGAAAATTGTCAGGGTCCACAATTGTAATTGCTAAACCTGTGCAATATTTACAATCACAAATCTTTGTGAACATCTAGGAAGTCAATTAGTGTAAAAAACGGATTGAGTTCCACTTTGGAGGTTCAACTGTGAAACCAATCCTACAGTTATTTGAGCTGCAGCCCAACATTTCACTAGGGCATGTGACAGGATGTGCACCAGGAAAACACAAGTGAAACGCTGACTAGCAAGAATTTTGGGAGCAACACACCTCATCATTTTCAGAGTAGCTGTGCGACACATGAGTAGAAAATTCTTAATTTGAGATTATAATCTTACCTTGTTCTCTGACGTCATATACGACACGGAGAAGTTGACCATGACATTGGCATAAAGACATAATTTGTCATCTTTGTCTTTGACCTTGACCTCAGCCCCATGTGACGGATGTGTCACTGAAACGATATATTCCCATAACGTAAGTCACTTTCATTTCCCTGTAGATATACTGTACTTTTGCTCTACAAGAGTCAGCACAGAAACTGTATCTATAAAAATAACCTACAAGGGAGGTATGCCTTGAGCGGTCCTCAGTTGAGTTAATAAATATCCCTTGATTACTATTTGAAAAAAATCTGGTATTTTTATTCATCCATTTTCCGAGCCGCTTTATCCTCACTTGGGTCCTGGGGGGTGCTGGAGCCTATCCCAGCTGTCTTCGGGCAATAGGCAGGGGACACCCTGAACTGGATGCTAGCCAATCGCAGGGCACACAGAATCGAACAACCATTCACACTCACAGTCACACCTAGGGACAATTTGGAGTGTTCAACCAGCCTGCCATGCATGTTTTTGGAATGTGGGAGGAAACCGGAGGACCTGGAGAAAACCCACGCAAACACGGGGAGAACATGCAAACTCCACACAGGAAGGCCGTAGCTGGAATTGAACCCGGTACCTCTGCACTGTGAAGTCGACATGCTCACCACTCGACTACCGGGCCGCCCCTGGTATATTTAGATCCATGCAATTATACCAGGTTGAACAGACCCACCAGGAGCGACATTTAGCCATAATCCACCACTGTGTTGTCAGTGGTGGATTCTGGCATTATGTCTGCCGCCAGGAGGCATTGCTGGGGGGGTAACAACGCACCCCAAGAAGGGGAAAAATAAATTACATAATGAAATGGTGGTTGTTGTTTTTAATAACACATGACATGTCAAGTCATTGGCATTTGTATGGGGACTTTGTGCCACCTTGAGGAGTTGCGCTCGGCAGAAGAGCACAAGTTAAAAACCCACTTAAGGTCCATGTCCCAGGAACATTTAACTATCCTCAGCATCATCGCATTAGCCATATAGTTGGGGAGCAGATGAAAGCAAGCGTGGCTTTGAAGATTCCAAAGAGGGATCTTGCACATGGCATCATTTACACCAGGACTGCCACGGAGTCATCTACTTAAGATAAATCTTATTATATCAATGTAGGGTCATAATAAAACTGGCATGTCTTATCCTCAAATATGTTCTTCAATAGGTAAATGTGTCTATCCTAGGGTGAATCTTGGCTTGTCGCGATTATGAGGAAGCGAAAAGCCAACACGTTTTAAAACTGACACGTTTCAGCAACTCACGCTCATATGTATGATATGAGCAGAGAATGCATCGTGGTAGGTAATAGAAAGTATGTCGTGATCGTGAGAAGAGACAATGTAGTTCATGGAGTGAAGGGGGCATGCTATGTAAAATTGCCACTGAACAAGCAATGTGGTAAGTCGATGTCACTCATGGGGCGATTCATATGTGTAACTGTACATAAATTAATTTGTTATAAGTGTTTTTCAGCCTTGTTTTATAGTTTACGCTGTCACAAAAAGCAAGAAATATTTTGTTGAATTCACTGTTCAGCTTGACATGTTTATTTTCACAAAAAGCCTATTTTCTCCACTTTTTGGTCAGAAATCGGTGTTGTAGGTCAAACCTACCCATGTTCTAAAACGGATTATGAAAGAAAGGAAACGGACTGACAAAATATTCAGGTGAAAGAAGAGAATCCAATCTTTGGTTGATTTGGTGTTTGAATGATCACAACAGTATTCTTTGGGTTGCGCAATATCTGTTGAAACGGCTGGCAATTGAAGTACACAATACGGAGAACTGTGGCAGAAGATCGCACAAAACACACCAATTTATCGATTTAAGTATTATGAGGATTAAAGCTAAATAACGCTAAACGTTGAGAAAATCGTTGTCAGCTAGGAAACCCAAAATTAACAAATCCCTGTAAGCATTAGCTTCACCACAATAAACAATGAGGGCGTCCATTCAAAATATTTTTTCGGAGCGAAACGAGATCTTTTTGGAGTCTGGATTGCAGAAATGACTTAACTTTCAGGTCAGTTAGCCCTTCATGAGGTCGTCCGCTGCTAGCACCCATACTGGGCTAAATGCTAACAAGCGGGCGCGACACTGTATTTCATTTTACATCATAAAAAGAAACCTTTGTGCGGTTGACATTGTTACTTCCTGGAAAAACAATCGAGAAGCAGAGGGTAGTTAGAAAAGATATGGTTTAATAATTAACTCAAACTTTAGCTTTCAAAACTAGCGTTAGCCAGTCGTTACGCTAATATGACGCCACAGAAGTGGCACCAGCAAAGCTTACTTTTCACAATAGCTGTCAGAGTATAGTTTGGCTATCGACTAGTGTTGGCTTTGTCCGTACAAAAATAACTACGTTAATACACCAAGGCGTGTAATTTAGGATTCGCAAATGCTGTGATATCCGAATTGCGATGTTGTTGACGTCGACGGTAATTAGCATTAGAGCTAACTAGATCAGCTGCGTTGATTACGCATTCGACAGATGATTGTGGATTCGTTTCTAGGTTTTGCAAAGTATGTTATTAAAATTTGTGTTTGGCTTGAAAAAATACATTTCTGTTCAACACAACACAAAAATACGGGCCGACGCTCGTTCCAGGAGTTGGCGACACGCTCCAGTTTCATAACTAAATGCACATCAAAATAATGAAACCTACCACATCCAAATGCGAAGAGAAGGGCAAACACGACATATGGAAACATGATGCCCAGATGTTTGACGGTGGTGGGGAAGGGGGGAAAATAACAAGCTCCGAGCAGTCGGTGATCTTCGGACTCGACTGACGCGTTGCCAGTGCCCACTGTATGAGGAAAGGCACGTTACATTGAGTCATATGACGGGACCACTGGTCACGGGGCAAGAGGTGTGGACTCCTATAACCTGCCTCTGGGATGAACTTTCCACTGCACTTTTGTCATTTTTAAAGCAAGGCTGAGGAACTCACAGACTCATTGATTTCTAAAAACAAATAAAACGAAAAGGACAGTTTTAAAAATAATCCCTCAAAACACACAAATTCGACTTACTGTATTTCGTCTCAATCGATTCAAACCACAGAATTGATCAAAGGAAAATTAGCCCCCAATTAAAAGTTACTTTCATCTTAAGCAAGGAACCTAACATGTCTGTACAAAATGTGTTTATTCTTTCGTGTTGTACATTAATGCACACTCATTACTTTCCGCAAGCCCCAGAGAACTCTGGTGTGTAATATGGTGGTGGTGGGGTGTGTGTGTGGGGGGGGGGGGATAATGATGATGAAATGTTGTGCTTTTGACACTTAAATTGAGTGGACGACCGTGGACTGTGAGCAAGTCTGATTGGTAAGGATTGTACAAAACAAAATATACCAAGGATAGCATGATATAGTAACATTTTGAATAATGAAGTGCTCCTTTTTTATGTCATGTGTTGCCATTCAGTTTTGGCAACCTTAATTTGACACACCACCATGTACTGTAGTTCAATAGTTTCATATTTGGCTCGGGTTGATAATACAAGAACATTTTAACGTGTTTGGAGCTTTCTTGAAGGTTTGTTGGCATTTACAAGGGCCTGGGGATG